AGCGCTTCCCCCGCGGTAGGCGGCTTGTTTAGCCACACGCCAGCGGCACGCAGAAGGCCCAACCCAGAGCAGGGCCCTGCCATGCCTGGCCCTGCATGGACACCCAGTGAGAGAGACAGACCCTGCTCTGAAGTGTCCACAAGCCTAAACAGACAAAGGGGGAGGGGAAACTGAGGCACAGAGGGGGGCAGGGACTTGCCCAGCCACTGGGCACTGAGGTCTCAGGCCCACCCGTGGATGTTCGTGGGACCCAAAGCCCCACCGTAAATGAGATCAATCTCTTGCAGCAGCCACCGGGGGAACTTCCACTCCCACACCCACACCCACTTGCAGGATCGAATCCCCACCCGCACTGCTGACCGGCTCCCGCTGGGAGATGAAGTGGACGGTGCTCCTCGCCCTGGTCCTGCCGGCCTGGCCTGCCCCCTGCAGCAGCACCGCTGGGAGCGATGGAGAGGAGGGTACGAGGGGGAAGGGTCGTTCCCCGGTGGCCCCCACGGTGCCTTGTGTGTATTTCTCCAGCCCTTTGGCAGCGGCTCCGGGATCCCCCGAGCAGATGGTCCCTTGCTCTCTCTCACCCATGAGCCTGACTCTCACCCAGCCAGCGGCAGAGAAAGCTGCAAATCCGCCCCCCCGGGGGGTACGAGATCATGCGGGGGTGGGGCAGGAAAGTTCTTCCTGATCCCAGCTGGCGATGGGCCTGTGCCCAACGCTGGCAGGCAGGCACCTCTTGCAGCTTACTCCTAGCAAGGGGCTCACCCCATGCTGGGTGCGTTGGATTAATGATGAGAAGGGTGGGAGGCAGGAAGGCTGCCCCCGGGCACAGCTGCCTCCTTTCGGGGTGGGGGGGGGGTCACATGGCTCTGCGAGCTAGAGAGGACCGAGCCGGCATCGCTCCGGGAGCAGGCCCCTCCTGGGAACGGCACGTTCACAACGAGGCCAGTTGCGAGCCCGGACGCCCCCGTTCCCGGTTTGGTGTCCTGGCCGCTGGGCCCCTCGGGGTCGCAAGCCTGCCAGGAGCTTTTCAGAAGTGGCCGAGGAGTTAGGCAAGTTCGCCCAGAGGTGCAGAGCAGGACCGGAGCCAGCGGCTGGGAGCAGAAGCCAGATGGGGTCCGATTAGAGCCAGGGCTCCCGGTGGGATGGGGGGGGGGGGGGGGG